CACACACACACACAAACTCAGTCCATTCACAACCACCCCTCCCATAAATCAGTCCAGCTGGCTAGTGAGGAGGTGAAGAGGGAGACACCATTCTAATGAGTGAGGAGGGCAAATCATGAGCTGCCAGAGGTGTCAATCTTAACAACAGCTGCAGACTAAACACTATGCTCACGTACACACATATGTATATGCACAGTGGGTCTACTCATATGCACAAACTCAGCAACACACTGAGAACCACCAGACCCAATTTAAAAAGCTGGATTGATTTCTCCTAAAGAGAAGGCCACATAGACAATTGATTAGGTAGCCCTGGGGACAGGCAGCTCAGTGGAGAGATGATGAAATCATTGTGATCCTACCTTCTGCCGCTCACACTCACACACATTCATACACAGTGCAAATGTTTCATAATAAGAAATATATACAAAAATAGAACTACTTTGTTTTGCTGGAGGTGCTCACATGAAAAGTAGTGATGCACAGTATGGAGTTATAAAGAGCTACTTTTCAGCTTTAAAATGTTATATATTTGTAAACTACTCATACAAAGGTTTAGCGTGAACAAAGAACACCTAAAAAATTCAAACACAGACAAAGTCTGACACACACTAAAGCACACGCACACACATACAGGCTTTAATTGGCCAATTTTAATTACCCTAAACGTGAGCTTTGTTTAACATCGGCGTCAAATTGATTAGATACGGTCTGCATGATTGTGTATGTGCCTGTGTGTATGCGTGTGCGTGAGTGCAAGTCTGAAAAAGACTTCCTGTCCTGCCTCTGCCCTGGCCCTGGTGGTCCCAGCTGGCGTGGGGAGGGGGTGTGGTGGTGGTGGTCGGGGGAATTAGGGATGCAAATATCCCTGTCAGCCTTGGCAGCTCCCCAGGGGTGCAGATGAATTATACTGATTTGGTTTAAACTGAGCGTGTGTGGTGTGTGTGTAGAAGTGCCTGTGTGCGTGTACGGGTTGGGATGGTTGGCTCCACCTGCCTCTTCTCAATATACACTCCAGCTCTGAAGAGGCTGTGAAACCAGCTGAGGAGCCTTTCATAATGGCCCACTCAGACTCTTGAAATGAGAGTCAGCAAGTGAGAGTAAGAGTGTTATTCTAAGTGCACAAAGTTAAGTTTAGGTGTAAAGGATAAAAGAAAGAGGCATTTTATTTTGGCATATTCAGCCTACTACACCACAACAAAGGTACAGATGGCAAGACACCATAAATGTAGAGAAGCACTCCCTTTTTCTTTCTTATTGTGTGTGTGGTCAGGTCAAAAGACGGCCTTTGAATTAGCGGCAACATTACGAAGCTTGTTTAATAATCCTCAAGATAGCAAAGCTTAGGCAGATGTTCACATGGTGCTCAAATGCAGGGCGTAAATCTAGAAATACTTTAAAAATGACTTAGAATTGTGTTATGGGAAAGCATTTTGCAGCCTAATAATAATAATAATAATAATAATAAAAACTATTTTCAACTAAAGATTAATACACCCTCGTGCGTGAGTGAGTATTTTCAGGAGAAGGTGTATGTAGGATGACTAAAAAAACTACAGTGCCTGTGTTTATCCACAAAGGAACATGTCACCCAGTGCAACAGTGTGACTCATTTATGTGTTTTTAATAGTCTTTGGACAACAACAGACATCTGTGGCACAGAGAAATAAGCTATATCAGGCATTAGCTACACAGGCAATATTTGTTGGTGGGAGAAATTCATTTCTGATTTTTGTCTTTTGATGGGATTTGTTGACAGTAAGAAACATATAAAATATTGCCAGCCTTGTCTCTTAAAAGTAGAGGAAGAGTACGCTTGGTGATGTCTGAGTGAAACTGCTGTCCACTTGGTTTCCTCTCTTGGGTCACTTGACTCTCCTCTCCATTAGAAAGAAAAAAAACTCCCCAAAGACACACTAATGGCTCTGTCCTTGCAGGAGTAGTCCGCCATTATGTGCATACGGGTGTGTATGTGTTTGTGCATCCTTCTCTGACAGTGTGTTTTCTGTGCACTGTTTCTGTAAATGTGTGTTAGTTCATCTGCCGTGTGTCTTCCAGTTTTGCAGAATATGAATGAAAGTCTGAGTAATGGCTCCTGCTTCTATTCTTTCCTTCCTTCCCTCCGGACTTCATTTGTCCCTGTCCTGTCCACGTGTGTGCACATACGTTAGTGTCACTGTAACAGTCCTCGGGCTACAGTACGCTTATCACATGATAGATGTATGTGGTTGAGCATCACTGCTACTACATTACAAAATGTCTGGACCTCCAGCCAGGCGTGTAAGTCTTTAAAATAGTCATACACTTCCAAAGTGGCGGTTTGTCCACAACAAAGACAATAATTACAGCATTCCTGACATCACACAAACACAAACAGGATGCTAGTAAAACCTTTGTGGTTTTTGCTATTGTTTTTACGCCATGCTTTTTTGAGAATGTTTCTTTGGGCCATGGCGGCAAAAAATGGAAAGGTGAGACAAAGGTAGAGCATGTGATAACCCAGATATACACCTCTCACGCACACAATGTGTATATGAGACTGCTAGGCTCCTAGTTCTTTATTTTGTATTTTGTTTGACATGGCCATTGGGAAGAATAATCCTAGTCTTCTCTCCTTTTCTTTTTCTGCCCGCTGTCTTCACTCAACCTCGCATCATAGCCCTCTGCTGACCTCAGACAGTTTGCAAAACAGGAAGCATTACAACATACAGTCATTCCTGCACATCTGGACGGGTCGACAAACACACGCTAATACAACCAAATGTGCATCCACGCATTTGCACACACACACACGCACAAACACACACGCATTCAGTTCATCTGCTTCACCGGGATGTCGCAACAGGATATTAGAGCCCTTGAAGATCATATCTGATATGGGACATGAATGGTTAATGAGCCTATCAGAGCACAATATTGCATCTGTGCCACAGCAATCTTTCCATGACAGAAAGATTAGTGTGTCAATGCTCATGTGTGGGAAAAGAGAAGATATTGAGAGATAGTGGTGGTTTGGGGCAGCTGACTGTGTAAAAAATCCATTTAAAATTGGGAACCCTTATGTAAGAGTAGATTCCATTACAGAGACAGAGAGGATGAGCAACACAGTGAAACACAGTTGCAGACGTGTGGACCGACAGATGGGAATAT